GGGGGGGGGGGGGGGGGGGGGCAGAATCTCTTTATTTATATTGAGGAGCTGTGGAAAGATGGGAAGCTTTGGGGAGAAGAGCTTCTATGTATATTGAATTTTCTTGCATTAGATTATATGTGAGTGTCAAGGCTTTTTTGGAATACTGAGCAGACCATTGTTCCTTTCCTCTTTCTCAGTCTGTTTTTGGCCTCCTTCATTTCAACCTGTGCACAGATTCCACATCCATTTCTGTAAAGCTAGAATAGGGCTTAGTTTTAAACTCAATATAATGTGTATGCACTGTGTGCTCATTCAGCTTTGCTGTGGGCTGGATGTGAAGGACCAACTTACAGCAATTTCTTGATTAGAACTGAAGGGCAGCCCCTGGTGAAGCTCTGCTGAGCGCTTGCACTGGGAAGATCTCATGAAAACTCAGCTGGCTGGTGAACTCCTGCCAGTGAAGTGAACACAGCAGCCAAAGGGAGCTTGGCTGGCCACTTAACTGCTAATTAACCCTGACTAAGTGCTCTCTACGTGGTCCATTCATTTCTAATTAGCATCCTAATCCAAATTAGCCACAGTTTATAATGCTGTGTGCTGGGGACTGCCCAGCATCTGGAACTGAAGAAGCAGCAGAACATGCACACAGAAGATCTGAGACTAGCAAATCACAAAAACAATTTCTGTCTTATTTGATCTGTTTTAGGTCCAGATCTGAGAGGCAGGGACAGAACTGAGCTGTTTAACAATTCTTCCAAGGCATTATTGGAGTGAGGATGATTGAACTCCAACTGCAGTCAAATCAGGAATGGAGGTAAACACTCAGAATTAAATGTAGTTCTGTTACGATCACCCTAATTCCCATATCATCACAATGTGTCTGGGAAGTAACACTCCCTCAACTAGCTTTCACAATTTATTTGGTCAGATGATGTTTTAAAATCCATTGTCTAGCACTGCATGGCAGGCAAGCCATAATAATGCAGGAAGACCTTATCAATCAAAGAGAAAGTAGATGATGAAATAATTATATTATTTGCAAGTCTGTAAATTAATCAGCATTATGTGTCCCTAAAATCAGGCTGCCATAGGAATTAATCATCTAATCTTTGCCTTTCACTCTGAACCATGGAAATTCCCATCTGAGGTTTACTTGGGCAGCCATGTGCGATGGTCCTTCTGCCCTTTTAAGCCAACTGCTCAGTCTCTCTCCCAACAACTTCTTACAAACAGCAGTTGGATAATTTAGTACAGGAGTAAGTTGACATAATTAGCAAAATTTCTGTCCCCAGCTGAGAGCATCAAGAGTTCCATTTTGACTGCAAAATTACTTTCTATTCATCATGGACCTTATATATGTTGTTTTTAAACAGATATGGTGGCAAGAGATGTCTTCACAATACCAGGAAGATCAGTGATAGATCCAAAGATGGTTGCTTTCACATAGTACTTTCTTCTTATTTCAAGCAATTGTCCAATGGATATCTCCCAGATGTTATAACTCCAGAGGACAGGCCATGGGTCCTGTCAGCCCCACTATATAGATCAGACCAAGAAATCAACTTCATAGGAAGGCCAAAACTACTTTTATTAAGATTGGCTATAGTAACAGAATCTTGCAAGTCTGATTGTGCTTTACCTCCTCCCCCTCTTATATTCATGTGAACTAGGAGTGTGTCTGTCACTTTCACATTCCTTCTGCTTCTTTTGGACTTAAGACATGTTGTTCCCCTCATTGTTTTGGTAACATACATCACTTATCTTTGTCAAGGCCAGCATCTTTACTCTCTTCAGGTCCTAATGTCTAGTGGGAACAATCCCCATGCACTGAAAGGGAAAGCAGCTTATGCACATTCCTCTTGAGCTGAGGAATGACCAAAGGGATATTTATCTATTATCCACCCTCCAATTTCTTTCCTCAGATTTGCATTCTCCTGAGGTTAGACTTCAAAATCATGGTACTGGTTTTGGGAGGAAGATATGAATCTGCCTTCTTACAAATCAGAATGATAAGAAGAGTCATAGTGTTTGACTGCAGGGCATAAATTGCTGAAGAGCTGGAATTTTTTTTACACATTGTGTTGTATCCTGTGGCTGGTTGGTGGGCTGGAGGTTGAAAATCTACCTTCTTCCTGGGAAGTTTGCTTTTGCAAGAAGTTATTTTAAACTTCATTTTAGTCAACACACTAAAATGAAAATGAACAAAAAGCCACTAAATTTTGAATATTGTTTATTTGCATCATTATTGCTGTTATCATCTCTTAATAGTATTATTATTAGTACTCCATTCAATGGGCAATTATATCTTGGGGGCCCTTAACAACAGCAGTGTCTGCAGCAAACCATGATGATGCCAAAATGACAATGCGCACCCAGTGAGGTCATCATGCCAATGCTGCCATTGATACTTGGGTCCTGACATCTGATTCAACTACTTAAGTCACAGCATTTGCATGATGAGGTCATCTGCATGTTTTGTCATTTTGTCACAGTATACCAAACTATGACGCAGTAGGAATGGCTTTATAATCAGTGCCAAGCAGGTCCTTCAAAAACCTTCAGTGTCTACCAGGAGTTCCTCAGGATACAAATGTAACAAACAGTCCTTTAAGAGGAACATTTCACTTTAGGGAAAAAGACCAAAACCAACCAACCAAACAAAAAATTCTGACAGTTTTATAAGCTTAGAGAGATTGAAATGTGTGAATGGATGGGCCTTTGCCAAGTCAATTAAGAAAAGAAAGGGTTTTAAAAGAACAAGACAAAGGCACATGTGGACAAAATGTTTGCTGTAATGGAAGACAGTTTAGGTATATGTTTTCAGGGAAGGTGGTTTTTAGAAAGACATGGTGGAAATGAACAGATGGAAAGAGGGAAGAAAATGCTTCTAATGTTCCAAGGTAGAATCATTTCTCTGTACTATGTCTCACAGAACCCAGGGAAGCATTATGCTAACTTTTTTTTAACCAGTTCCCAAAAGGGATTCAGTACTGTAGAAGTCAACCATACTAATGGGAAATGCAGCAGCATTCACATTGTGGGAATTGAGAAACTGAAGCATGTTGAAAGGGAAAAGTTTTCACTTTGATGCAGGCCACTCTGTGGTAGTAGAGTCCAAGGCCTTGGGTTCAAATCTTGGCATGAACTACCTTCTTTTGCTTACTTAAGAGAATTTGGAGGATTTTTTTAGATGTCACTAAAAACCCTTGGATAGCCAAGAATATGATGTGCTTAGTTCAGTATGTGGATGGATGGATGGATAGACAGATATTAAAAGAAGTATTTTATAACATTTTAAAGAAGACTGAGGAACCCGCAGCAAAACAGAAGTGTGTATTGTTTTTTTAATCATTCATACATAATTTTTATACATAAAATAATATTCAAAGTCACCACTCTATAACAGGGGCTATTCTGTATCCACCATTATTTCTCTAGCCTGCTTTCTACTTGTCTAAATAAAGAGTTAACATTATTTGTAGAGCACAGTTCTACAGCCAAACTCAACACAGTTTCCTGAACTGTCCCAAATAATAATTTTCCATTAGAATCATCCTGTTCATTCAAAACACTGGGGACATGGCATTTTGAAGATAATGAGAGTTTATAGTTCAAGGCAAATCAATACACACATTATGAATAGAGTGAAATTCTAGCATTAAGTACCAGAGCAAATGTTGGCTTTCCTGGATGATAGGTAGATCTGCAAATAACTACACATACACAACAACAGCAGTACCACCAACACCAACTTTCTTGTCCTTCTGTGATTCAATCTGGGATTTTTTGCATGCAAACCATGAACTCTACAACTGAAACAAGGTCCTCATTCATGGCAGAAGGTAAGCCTAACTAGGATATTGGGACACTGACCCTTCTGTCCTTATTGGTCTTTATGCAGCTGTATATGTATTTTCAGGTAAGTACACTAAAGGCTGCAGCTTTCATAGGTATTGCCTTTGTGTTCTGAGTCAGAGCCTTGGATCAAATTCAAATAATTCTGCATAGCATCCTCCTCTTAGATTAACTATATTCATATACACTGGCACAACTTCTAAACAGAGAGGGTACAAATAAATGCTTTGTTTGTAGGAGATCCCAAGCATCTGCAATTAAAAGGATTCAGCAGCAGGTGATGGCATTCTGGAAATGTGTTGCCAATATGATTAGACAACAATGGGTTTGATGGATGAAGAGTGTAACCTGAGAAAAGATAAAGCTACCATTATCTGGGCTGTAGCCGTCTCAACAATCATTAGATGGCAGCAAGGGACACAGAAAACTAGAAAACTCTGACTTTTTGCTGCCATCTAATGGTCATCTGGCAGTTTCTTATGATCAAGTAGATCAAATTGTCTTTACTGGGTCTTCACTACTTTCCTGCTACTTTTTGTTTAAAGATGCTAATCTTACCTCTAAGCCTTAAACAGCTTAGGCACTGCATACATCATAGATCATATCTTCCTTTATGTCCGGCTGTATTCTCTTGATCAGCTGATCCTTTGCTAGTAAACACTTCATTTATTAGACAAATTTAGAGGCATTCCTACCTGAATAAAATTCCTTGGAAATGTAAAGCATATAAAAGTGGTATTAATCCAGAAAACAAATAGTGGTTTGGTAAAAGTGAAGGATTATTCTAGGTGTTTTAAATTTATTTTAGTACATGTGGTAAGCCAGGATTTTCAGTATATTTCATTTTCAAAGTATGTTTTTCTTTGAAGAAAAGAAAAGATTCCACCTCAATTCAGAGAAGATAGACTTACATAAAAATATAGAGAAAGCATGAGAGAATAATCACTTACCTACTGGGTTGGGGTAGCTGATTGCTGAGAAAGGAAATAGAAATATATATATATAATACTTTTAGGTTTATATTAACACATTTAAAGATGAAACAAAAAAAACCAAATGCCTAAATTATTTCCAGAAAGTACTCATATCCTTTTGTTCCTGGGCAGATTCAAAATTGGGATTGAATGCAGAGATCTATAATCTTTAAAATTGCCCAAACAGACATTGGCACAAGAAATTCTGCTCTTAGAAATGAGAAAAATATTTTTAATTTATTATATTTATTTATTTTTCATTCATCCATCCACTAACCAAGCAACTCTGGGTGATTTATATAGAATTAAAAACCTCAAAGAATTCCATTCATTCATGGAACCTGGTAGAAATTAAGATAATTTGAAAGAATGGAAGCCAATATTTGGAAAAGTTGTACCTTCTGTCATATCATTAGACTAAATCTTATATGAAAAGAAGTTTGGGGAGAGAATTAAATCTGTGATATAGCTTCTGTAGGAAAAAGCTCCATGTCTAATAGCAAATGTGAATCCTTAAAGACTTTGATGCCCTTTGTCTTCCCATTAAAGTGCTATATAGTATACTTGTATACAAATATGTCCAGCTTTATATTCCATATCAACAAATCAGTAAAATGTATGATAGAAAACGTTTGATATTCTTTGGGGACTGAAGTCAAGGCTCACAAACTCTTCAGGACCTTGTATCTTTCTAAGTAGAAGACAGTTACCTAAGCTGCTATTTGGTCATTGAACTATGTACTGTTTATGCATTTTCCACTGAAAAATGATTCTTGGATACAAATGATCACATAACCTAATTGTTGGGAGTAAATTGATGACATACATTGTACATAAACTGCTGTGGTGATGGTGGTGATCTAACACTGAGACCAGTTTATACGGAAGACAGCCTGGGAAGCACATATATGATGATTCAAGCTCTAATCAGCTTGATCTCCTCTGAATGTGATGAGATATAACTCTTACAATTCCCCACCAGGAAATTTTGAGATTTGTAATTCAATATATATGGGAAGGACCACACTGGAGAAGGTTGCTCTGAATGATGCAGGTCTACTAAGATTTTGTCAAGAGAAATACACCTCCTTCAGCAAATCTCTGCCTTTGGGGCTTCAAAAACTATCAAGTAAAGGAGAGAAAGAGACACTCACGTTCTATATAGCGGATGATGCGAGAAGCCATGTCCCCCATCCCAAACCGGGTTATGGGTGTCAAGCGAACTTCATAGCTTTGAGGCACCTTCAAGTCAGTCAGGAGGTATTCCTGTAACATGCCCTTTTCCATCTTCCTCACAGAAATGGATTTAGGGGGCAAGTCCCTGTGATTCAGCTGTGATTCAGAGACATAAGGCAGGACTGAGTTAGGCAGAGTAGACAGTTCTGGAATCTGAAGATTAAAGGACTTTTATGAGCTTCGTATTCCAAGTGTTCCTTCTCTTCTCTTCTTGTCAATTAGGAGTTGTTATTCATAGTAAAAGCTGCTGGTACTTGGCATATTCCTGCATATGCTTGACCTAGTGCTAAGTTCTAAAATATGGAAAAGGATTTTGAGTCCTCAGAATTTCAGAAGTTATTAAATAAAATTAAAAAAATTAAAAAAATAGCAATTATTTTTAACTTCTGGAATAATAAAGACTCAACCTACTAATGGATTTGGGCTATAGTTTCCATGGACTAGAATATGAGAAGTTTGTAACTGATACAGTAAGTAATTTCATAAAATTACAGAGTAGATGTTCTACTTGCCACTGTTTTACATGCAAGCAAGAAGCTGGACTCAAACTTGGTTTGCCCAATATTCATGGTTTTTGTCACATGTACACTTTGCATTTGTAAATATATGTTTTTCAAAATTATGGTGTTTGAAGAAAGTCCATATCAAGACAACCGCAATTCCCAGTTTTCCTTGTGCACTTAAATGTACGTATATTTATAAGGACTCATCAGCTTTGGGACAAAAAACTGTGGTTTGCTCCTTCCTTCCCTCAACTCTGTCCCTATTTTAATTCAACCTGCAGTTGTGAATTACTCCTGAGAGATTTGGAATTAACTGGAGTTGCCACACTGGCTTGGTCCACCTACAGCACCATGTCATGCTTTCTTTTAGATGTGTTTTGTTGTAGAACCCATAGTGCCTCTGATTCACACATGGCGCTAAGCTAGGATTTACGAAGACAATGGCTGAGTTTGCCCATTCTATTAAGTCAAAATCACATGATATCTTAGCACAATTTGCCAATCAAGTTCTTGTCCTCAATATCTAGGGAGATGCAGTAAATAGAAATGCTTTCATTTATCAGTTTTATTCATTAAGCTGTGATGAAGCTAAAGGATGAGAAAAAGTCAGAAGCATACAGTGGTGGTGGTGAGGAGTCTCCTTCACTCTTTCTCATACCTGCATCTATCCTTATATCTGCCTCAGTAATCAGATGAGCCATTTCCTGCATAGACCAGATGTCTCATCTTGCTCCCCCAACTTTGCTGAAAATAAAATGAGGTCGAGGCACTATTTGATCAACATAAAAACAAAGAATCATGTGGTACCAATCTACCCACCCATCATTCTATTTCATTTTGTCTGTCAAATAGGCACCTTGGTCTTTGATATGTTAATTTTCAGATTCATACTTCTAGATTCATCAAACAATATTTCTAATATTCACCGCAAAACATTTGGGTTCTTATCCAGCAACATGTCACTGTATACAATGCATTTATGCCCCCAATCAACACATCTCTACCACAACCACAAGCATATTTTATATATTTACCCATAAATACATTCAACAACCAAGGGGATATGAAACATCCTTGTCTTACTCCCTGCCATTTTGAACCATTCACTAAGCACTCATGCTTTACTTGCATCATATACCACTCTTATCTCATTTAGCAACTGTCACTCCATAATTATGCAAAACATTTCCTAATTCAAGCTCATTCATTTTATCCTACGCTTTCCCTATATCAGTGTTTCTCAACCTTGACAGCTGTAAGATGTGTGGACTTCAACTCACAGAACATTGTGCCTTTTTCAAGTTGCTATTTGTCCTGTAGTCTAATAAGCAATTTGGAACTGCATGATCCTAACTGGAGAAATGGTTTGTGTGTATGAAATGAAAGGATCAGTACTATGTTGCCTATATTCAACAATCTTATTCTAACGTCCTTGCTCCACTCTGCATTAATACTTAAAAACTTCACAAGTAATGCTAATCTTTTACATCAATTCTAGTTTGCAATTCAGCTGTATAGTTCACAGATGGTGTTATTTCTCAAGATGATTAAACTCCAAGCTCCTATGTTTTCCTCCATGCATCTTCAAGCAGGTTGTACTCTTGTCTTTCTCTTCACTTGCTTGCCTCTGCTCTTTTAAACAGAGCTTAAGCAAGTCTCCCTTGATTGCATGACTGCGACTTCGGATAGAAGAACCAAATAAGGAAGAATTATCATGCTTCTGGAATCTTGCCAGGGTCCATTTTTAATGCAAAGGGGATTCACATGGCTTCCCTATAGCTCAGCCTTTCTATTTACAGAAGCTCTCTTACCAAGCAAAACACACTCAGGGGCAAAAAAGTTTTATAAACATTCACATGTGTCACTTTACTGTTTCCTGGAAACAACATAAGCTCTCATAAGAAAACCAAGGTGAATTCCAGCATCAAAGGAGGCTATTTTACAACATTAAACTAAGCATTTCGGATAGGGAGACAGATGTCCTAAGTTTAGGGACAACTGTTCCTTTATAGTTGGTATACTCAGCTGTGTGAAGTCCAATTCACACAGCATAATTTGCAGACATGGAATGACTGGTAATACTGATGACTCCTCTGTGTTTGCTCTGTTTGCAAATGTACAGAATAAGAGGTTTGTATAATTGCATTTTACTTTTCAGTAATTTTGTAATCTGCAAACTTGATTTTGTAAAACTGTAGTTCATGGTTTGTAGGGAAGGGAACTGCATGCATGATAGTCATATAATTCATCTAGGCATCTACCCACAGAAGCCACCTGGCCTTTAGATATCAGGTTTTAAAGATCAATCTTTATAGCATTTCCCCATATAGCACAAAACTTAGTTTGAAAATTTTCTTGCATGTTTATATATGTATATGTGAAAACAAATGCAGATGCAAAAAGGAACAGCACCATTACAATTAAAATTACATTACATTACATATTGTACATTAAAATGCTAGCTAATGTAAGGTAAGTGGGAAGCTGTTAACCCCAATTTACTGTGGTAGGCTTGTTTTCCAGAAGCCCTTCTTGCCTAGATTGTCTCTCCCAGTCTGCTCCTATCATGTCTTCAGGGAAACTTAATTCAGATTGGATATCAATACTGCCAAACAGGGTTATTTTTTAATTTTGGGAAAAACAAAACAAAACAAAACCCTATGCATCTCTAATGTCCCATGAAAAATATGATATGAACTATATCTTTTCTTTGTATCCTTAGTTACTCTCTATAAACTCTGAAAAGAGAACTACCATGTCACACAGTCATATAAAAGCAATGTACAACAGACTTATAAGATCAAACAGGTACATAAAGAAAAAATATACTTTCAACGTCTAATAAACTGAAATACAAACAAGCTTCTTAACTGTGCAGGTGGCCACTTTGTTCCTCCTTTTGTGAGGCGACAAACATACCAAGAAATCTTCTGGTTTCCAACTGGGAAACTATGATTAATAACTTCTGAACAAGCCACAGTGTTATACCATTTCAAATCATTCTGAAATGTTTAGCCTTAGTTCTTGGTTTGGGATCTATAATGAAAGATTTTCTCTTCCTGTTTGCTCACATGAAGACAGAAGGCAAGGGACTACCTACAACTGAAGCCCCACTGTATACTGGTCTTACAACATTTTTAAATAGACTTAAGAACAAAAACCTCTGTTTTTTTTCTGCCCCAAGCTGAGCATTAACTTTCCAGTTAGCTTCTTCTAACCATCAGGAACCTGAAGCCAAACAAAAGTTTAGGGTAGCTATAGACCCCTTTAATCCACAAGGAATCAGGGTGTGTTTCTTATTCAACAGACCACTGCTAATGCATTACAGTTGAAATTTGGCTCCTGCAAAATGTTTCTCCTGCATGATTGATGTTGGCATCTCTACACTGAAACAATAGCATTGAATCCCTCAATCTGGGAGATTTTTCTTCATACAGGGCTCCTGACATCATCTCCTACCATGCTCTCTTGTTATCTTTGTGCTGTTCTCTCACTCAGTCTCCTGAAACATCCTTTCTTTCATGATCACACCATCCCGGAACTGTGGTCCTATATGACTCTGGAGCAGTTAATAAAATACACAGCTCAGCAAGAACACTGGGGAAAATGCAGGCTGCCTTATTAGAGACTCTCAATCCTCAGCGGAGGAGCCTGTACAGGAAGCAGCAATATGTTCATTCATCACTGGGTACAGTTAGCTGCCAGCGGGGCTGAAGGAGCAGAGCATAGCTCTCAGTCTCTTCTCTTTGCCTCCTTCACCTCCTCCCACTTCAGCTGATGAAAATAAGACTGGGTGGGGAAACCACATCACTTCCCATATCCACCAGCAGCATGCTGCAGGCATCCCACGTGAAGATCTAGGGAAGAGGGAAATCAGGTAACCAAATGATTTGATGTACAGAGGTGAGGGCACTGAGCACCCATTACCCCAAAAGGGAAGCTGGAAAGGGCTTCATAGGAAGGAGCTTCGACTACTTTACCTGACTTCTTAGAACTGTAGTGGAAACTCTTCCTTCTTCTCAACTGCTTCCATAAAACAACCTTTATGAGCAATGTCAAATCCATACCCATCTCATGATATTCACAAACATTTGGGCCTACATTCTGTGTAGGGTAATACCCAGTGAACTCCCTGAGGCTTGCTTCTGAGCACACATGCTTGGAATTATACGTTTAAGTATCCTTGAATTTCTATCTTCACAAATGCTCCTTTTCTGGTAGCCACTTAACTTCTGCCTTGTAAAGTATTTCTGTTAAGAATGCTTTGTGAACTGAATACTTCCCAGCCTCATAAGTAAATGAGAAACTGCTTGTCTAGTAGATTCTTTTTTTTCAAATGTTTTGTCTCATTGTTGGGCTTCAATGATGACTGTGTGTATCTATGTATCGCTGTGCAGGTGGCCACTTGAAAGATATCACTTGGTGCTATCACTTGAAAGAAAATGTATTTAGAAAAGCTGTTGATTTTGTTGTTTTATTTTTTTTTGTCAGTTTTTAACTTGACATTTAATCCTATTGTATAGGGACTTTGTAATTGAGATGGCATATGAGTTAATAAAACAAATAGTTAAATCTGAATTTTCATGAAAATTA